AAAAAAAAAAAAAGAATCTCCTGGTTGGGGCTGAGAAGGTGGCTCAGTGGTAGAGTGCTTGCCTTGCATGCATGAGGCCCTGGGTTCGATTCCTTAGCACCACATAAGCAAAAAGAAAAAAAGCCGAAGTGGTGCTGTGGCTCAAGTGGTAGAGCACTAGCCTTGAGCTGAAGAGCTAAGGGACAGTGCCCAGGCCCAGAGTTCAGGCCCCACAACTGGACCCCCACACCCCAAAAAACAAAACAAGAATCTCCTGGTCTTTCCTGCCCCTTTGAACCATGATCCTCAGATCTCAGCCTCCAGATACCTAGGATTACTGGCACCTGGCCCTGAGTCATATTTTAAAAACTGCTGGAGGCTGATGGCTCACACCTATAATTCTAGCTACTCAGGAGGCTGAGATCTGAGGATTGTGATTCAAGGGCAGCCTGGGCAGGAAAGTCAGTGAAACTCTTATCTCCAGAAAACCAGAAGTGGCACTGTGGCTCAAGTGGTAGTGTCCACATTGAGCTGAGGGACAGCGCCTAGGCACAAAACAAAGACCTCCAACTGTGTTGACTAAGGAACACAAATTTTCCAATGCTTCTAGTTAATCCCCCATCTTCTCTCAATGTCAAGGATCAAATAGAGACTACTTACTCATCACTACATCTTTTCTCACTCCATTCATGTTTGATTTGTACCAGGTGGCAAGGGTGTGGATAGCAACGAAATTTGCTTCAAATTCACAATTTGGATTAGTCAGAACCCCTTTTAACCGTGGGATAAGTTCTGTGGATCTTCCTTTGTAGGGGCCGAGAAACAACCTCTTCTGATCATAATCGTTAGCATGAATGTTATCCCAGATTACTGGAGCTCTCTTAATAATCTTAGAAACCTCTTCAATAGACTCCACGGGAATTTCTTTAGAAACAACTTTAGGACCTAGAAATAATGATAATAATGATTACCATTTATTAAAAGTATTACTTACATGGTTAAAACACACAAACAAATATACACACCATATATATATAACTTTCAATTGTTTTTATATACTTCCTAACAATTTCTCCTTTTTACTTTTTGCAATGCAAAGGATCAAAGTCAGGGCTCATGAATACCAAATACATGTGCTAGCACTGAGCTAGCTACATCTCCAGCCACAGTATTTCAACTTTTTTGAGACTGGGTCTCACTGAATGACCCAAACTAACATCAAACTTGAAATCACCTTAGCTTCCCAAGTGATAGGTTACTCTAGCACCACAACCCCTGGGTCATATTAATTTTCACCTTCAGGCAGAGGCTGTGGCTCAAGAGAAGTAAGGGACATGCTTGCGAGAAGGCCTACATTCAATTCAATGTTTGCTAGATCAGTAGTCTTCAAAGTTCCATATATACACCCACCCCACACCAATCTCCAGTCCAGGGGTTGAACTCAGTCAGGCTTGAACTCTGAGCTTCTTTTGCTCAAGGCTAGCACTGTACCAAGTACTTGAGACACAGGGCCGCTTACTGCCTTTTCTGTTTATGTGGTACTGAGGAATTGAACCCAGGGCTTCATGCATGCAAGGCAAGCACTCTACCACCAAGCCACATTGCCAGCCCCCATATAGATTTTTTATTATGTATTAACTGATACACAGTCATTAAAAAATCCTTCACTATTTTTTTCCTTGCTGTGTAGAGAATAGAACCCAGGGCCTTGCTTATGCTAAACAGATACTTAATCACTTAAGACTTTTGTTTAAGCTAGGTACTGGTGGCTCACACCTGTAATCTTAACTGCTCAGTAGGCTGAGATCCTAAGATCCAGGTTCGAAGCCAGCCTGGGCAGGAAAGTCTCTCATCTCCAATTAACCAGCAAAAAGTCAGAAGTGAAAGTGTGCCTTAAGTGGTAGAACTCCAACCTTGAGAAAAAAAGCTACACAAGCTGGGCGCCAGATTACAGATTACACCTGTAATCCTAGCTACTGAGATCTGAGGATTGCAGTTCAAAAGTCCATGAGACTCTTACCTCCAATTAACCACCAGAAAACTGGAAGTGGTGCTGTGGCTCAAGTGGTAAGTGCTAGGCTTGAGCAAAAAAAAAAAAAGCTTAGGGATGATGCGCGCACGCGCGCGCGCGCACATACACATGCGCACACACACACGCACACACACACGTCTTACACTAATGAAGAGTATATACTTTAGAGCCAAAAAAAAAAAAAGCAACTGAATGATAGGGAAGGAGTGACACTAATCAAGATGCATTGTACTCATAAATTTATATGTGGAATTGAAAACTGTACAACTAAAGAATAAATAACTAATTGTATTAGTACTTAACTAAGAAACTGATTTCTCAAGGTCATAAGTAATTAAAGTATTACTATATAAATTTAAAGACTGTAATCCATTGGCAGGGCATCGGTGGCTCATGCCTGTAATCCTAGCTATTCAGGAGGTTGAGATCTGAGGATAGCGGTTCAAACACAGCCTGGGCAGGAAAGTCCGTGAGACTCTTATCTCCAATAAACCTGTAAAAACCGGAAGTGGCGCTGTATCTCAAGCGGTAGAGCACTGGCCTTGAGCTGATAGAGCTGAGGGACAGCGCTCAGGCCCAGAGTTCAAGCCCCTCGAGAGACCAAAAAAAAAAAAAGACTGTAATCCTAGCTATTCAGGAGGCTATGATCTGAGGATTGCAGTTCAAAGCCAGTCCTGGAAGAAAAGTCCATGAGACTTTTACCTCCAATTAACTAGCAAAAAGCCAGAGGTGAAGTTGAACAAAAAAGCTCAGAGAAACTGCCCAGGCAGAGTTCAAGCCCCGGGACCACCACCAAAAAAAAAAAAAATCAAAGACTTACCTGTCCAAAGCACCTCGATTCCAGGTAGAAGCTTTTCACCCACAGTCCTCAAATAAGGAGATTGAGATACATTTGGGTAACAGAATGTGCCACAATATTCTGAATGTAGGAAGAAAAAATATGTCAGTATTGAAATGGTCACAGATTCTGGAATGGGGAAAACATTCTAGTGATTATAATTTCTTTCTGTCCAAATGATAGCCCCATGTTAGAATCTTGTTGAAGGGAATTGATTTAACTAGGCAGTTCACTCTAGCCAGGATGGTGGTACATGCTGTAACCCTAGCACTGTCTACACTCAAGAGGCTAAAGCAAGAGTATCATAAATTTAAAGCCAGCCCACACTACGGAGATTCATCCCAAAAACAAAAGTGATACTATTCCTCTAACAGTAACACAGATCAATTGGTATGATCCTACAAGTCACTGGAAATACAAAGAAAGAGTCTGCATTTTCTACAAAACTAAACTGCATTTTTCATAGAGGCCAAATATAATCAGTCAGCAAAACACATACAAGATTATGACAATGACTATCAAATGATTATAAGTTCTTAACAAAGTTATGACTTACAGTGAATTTCCAGTATCTTTTTTGTTTTTTGTGCTAGTATTGGGGCTTGAACTCAAGGCCTAATGCTCTTGTATGGCTTCTTTTTTTCACTAAAGGCTGGTGCACTAACACTTGAGACACCTCCATTTCCGGCTTTT